TGATGTGCCACTCTTTCCTTTGTTGGGCTCTTGCTTATTGCCTGTGCTTGTGCTCTGCCCCGTGGTGGATTCACGTGCCTGTGCCGGTGCCTGTGCATTGCATTCGCAGGTTATTCCTGTTGGGATTGCAAAAGTTTGGAAAAGGAGACTGGAGAAGCATCTCGCGCAATTTTGTTATATCGAGAACACCTACGCAAGTTGCAAGCCACGCACAGAAGTATTTTATCAGGCTGAACTCCCAAAACAAGGATAAGAGGCGGTCCAGCATCCACGACATCACCAGCGTAAGCAATGGTGATGCCATGTCACAGTCGCAGGGCCCTATTACAGGCCAGCCAGCCGTTGCCCCTCAACCCATTGCCCATCCACATGTTCATTCCCATGCATCGCCGCCGCCCATTCAGCCGGGATTGTATATGACTTCAGTTGGGCAGCCAATGGGGCCGCTCCCCACTGTCATGCCCATCCGTCCGCCCCCTGGGCATCATCCATCGCGGGCACATTTGGCCAGGCCTGTTGGGATGACTGGGACAGGAATTCCAATGCCCCACATGGCTGCCTATGTCCCTCAGCCTGCTATGCATCACTAGGAAAGTGTGACATTAGGCCTGTTTGGTTCCTCTTATAGCTTGATAGATAATCGAGGGAAGGCTCCAGAATCTGAATGAAGAGGAGTGGGGGGGTGCATGGGGCACAGGGGGCTGCGGGGGGGGCGGGAAGTTGAAGAATTGCACAAACACGAAGGGAGAGAACAGTAGGGGCAGGGATGAGGGAAGGGTGAGGGTGGGGTACACTGCTGGGGGAAGATGGGTGTGGTCCCTGTGGTACGAATTAGTGAACAAGTGATTCAGCAAGGAGGAGAGTTGTCATTTCTTTTCAACGGGGGGGGCGAAGGCGGTGGGGAGGAAGGAGGGGTGGGCGGGGAGGGTGAAGAACATGCACAAATGCGGGGGGAGAGGCAGGGGCTAGGGAAGTGAGAGGGTGGGGAGCAGGGTGAGGGGAAGATGGGTGTCGTTACTAATTAGTGAAGAAGTGAATTAGCAAGGAGGAGAGCTGTCATTTCTTTTGTGCTTATCTTCGCCAACGACGTTGGCAGAGTTGTTTTGCTTGCCCATGGCTTTGCTCCTTTTTTTTTTTATCGCCCTTCCCCTGTTGCTCTGTTCTTTTCGCAATGACCTCTCCTCCTCGCATTCTTTCCTTCACCGGGAAAATGCGGGTTTCCTCCTGACAGGAAAGGAATCTGCCATCCTCACAAGAGAATTTCCCTTTGCATTTCGGAAGGGATCTTGTGTGCATCATCCAACTGACGTATGCTGTACAGGAGTGACTGACTGTCCATGGACGCTTCATTTCTGTTCTTCTGAAAGGGAACGAACGGAAAAGATGGCGTGAGTATGTTATGTTAGTAGAGAAAGCTGAAACATGTAGAAGATCCGATCTGATCTGATCTGATGAAGTAGTCCTCGTCTCCAGCAAGTTCTTCCTTTGTTCCTCTCCTCCTTTTCCTTTTCGCTTTTCGTTCCCCGCAGGTCATCCTGCTCTTGGTTTTAGCCGGGGGACACGGAGGTAAAAGACATTGACACATGCACGCTGCTGCTGTGGCTGCTCCTCCTCTCTACTCTCTCTCGGGGAATGGTAGGGGCTTAGGAGGGGGGAGGGGGAGGCAGGGGAAAAGAGGTTGGACAATACGACAATGGGACGTGTTGACTGGCCCTCTCCCGCAATACCGATCAAGTTGCACCAAGTGCACCCTGCTGTGATGGCATTTCCCTATGCACGCAGCTCAGCGGACCTCTCTTTGGTGTTGCTGGGGTGATGGTGTTCGGAGAAAGAAGGGGGAAGGAGTGGGAAAGGGCCAAGCTAATGACAGCATGGTCCAGGAGCTCCGCCTACGTCTCTCACAGCTGTGCCAACCAGGTTGGAGGTCACTCACTCTGCCATGATAACCTCCACGTCTGCATTCAGCTTGTGCACCCACCTACTCCCTCTGTACAGATGGTCGGTCGCTACCTCCATCCGCGCTATGTTTGGCTGACATGGCAATGATTGCATGTGCAATCATGAGCCTGGTGCAACTAATGACGTGGAGCGGAAAGCGGGGGGGGATGCGCGGGCATGGGTACGGGAAAGGATTTACCCTGCCAACCAAATGCACTCGTGTTAGTGAGCATCAACTGGACTTTTCTATTCATGGATGGATATTGGCCAGGTCCTTTTTGTTAGTACGCTGTACGTAAATAGACTGTTTTCTTGCGCCCAATGGCTCAAGGGGGATAATAAATGGAAGCCTGTGTTGTGTTATGTTGTGTTGTGTTATGTTGTGTTGTGTTGTGTTGTGTTATGTTATGTTGCGTTGTGTTGTGTTGTGTTGTGTTGTGTTGTGTTGTGTTGTGTTGTGTTGTGTTGTGTTGTCGTTGTTGTTGTTGTGCGTTCTCTGCTGATCAGCATGATCATGAAATGCACCCAATCTATAATTTGTGATGATTGGGCAGTTGCAGATCAGCATGATGCAATGCACATCTATCATCGACGATGATTGGGCAGCTGCAGTGTATTGCATTCGGTTCGGCTATGTCCGGAATCGAAGATACTCTGCTCACTTGTCTGACTGATGTCGTCGGACACGGATTTAGTCAATATATACGCAGGTAGTTTTGTCCTTTAGCCACTGTGGTGAGGAGCATAGCCACTTCATTCCCTCAAGGGATTGAGATAGGAATGAGATGCCTGGCCATTTTCTCATGGCATGTATTCATCGTCTGTGGTGCGTCTCAGCTGACGTTCACGAGGGCAACGCAATCCAGATGATGTTTCAACCAGTTGTTTGTTGCCTGTGTGTTTTTGCTCATCGACTACTTAGCCTCATGGATGGCAAGCTCTGGTCATCAGGGTGCGACGGCGGCGGGAGTTTACCCAGGCCGCGCGCCATTCAGTTCAGTCAAGGTGATGATCATCTTGGCTGTTCATCTGATGCCTTAGCATCTTGCCACATCACATCCGGGTCCCGAAAAAATTGCTCGACACACAGTTCAGTCCAACCCTGCGCAGGGTGCACCAAATCCAGGATCTAGCTATAGCTAGATCATTAGGTGAGTGGTCAAGTTGCTGTTGTAGGAGGCTGTGGCTGCGGATGTGGGAGAATAGCAGGGTAGTCGAGTCCAACCCTGCGCACGGTGCACCACATCCTGGCTCTGGGTCTAGCTAAGGTAGACCATTGGGTGATTGCTCGAGTTGCGGTTGGTGGAGGCTGTGGCTGCAAATGTGGGAGGATCACAGGACAGTCTAGTCCAACCCTGCGCATGGCGAACCAAGTGAATGGGAATGAGATGCGGTCGACGTTCTTCTCCGTTGTTCTCTCTCCGACTCGCGGACAGGGCGTTGAAAGAGCAAGGTGGTGGTTGATGCATCAAGGTTGCAGAGCGAAATAAGGACTTTAAGATGAGCCGCTCTCTTCAGAAGATATCTGCATGGAGCTCTGCTTTCGTTATTTGACCTGTTGACTCTGAGTAGGTGGTGACTGCCTTGCTGGTTCTTTTTCACAATTGAGGAAGCGAGTCGACGAGAGCAGTGGTGGCTGTAGGTGTCGCCGCAGGGGCAGACAGAACACCGATGACGTGGTGCTCTCTCCGCTTCTTCCTATCAGCAGTTCGCCATCGGTCTGGTCCACCATGCGTTGACGGCCCTTTTTCGCACATTCGGCTGGCTGGTGGGTTAGCTGCCCTCCTCCTCTTTATTTTTATATATCTCCTGGAAATGGAAAAGGACAAGGAACGGACATTTACGACAGTACTGTGTTAAATATCGTACCCCCCACCTACATCATCATATGCGTTTCGTTCAACTTGCAAATTATGTGTCGATAGTAGCGTACTCCGTCCACCTACCCTTTACTCTACTTCAGCGTGTTTATCTGCTCCGGTTGATGTGAAGGGAGCTGCCACTTTACTCGAAATCGAAGGGGAAGAATGAATGTCACCCAGAGTGAGTGACCAAATTTCTGTGCTCCTATCAAAGCAAAATGTTCCTCGGCCGCGCTGCCATGTCTCTTCGGAAAGTTCGGATTGTCGGTATACTCCTCTACCCTTTCCCTTCTGCCAGTCCTGCCTGTGCTTTTTCCCTCTTCTTGAGTACGTGTTTTCTGTCGCTCCATTCCTCCCACCACTTCTTTCCCAGGCTTCACGACCGTGGCCTCAATCCATGCAACCTGTGGTGTTCTCCAAAGCTCCAGTTCAAACCCGAGTCAGTCACCAAATGAAGTCGGTCAACAAATGAAGTCGGTCAACAAATGAAGTCGGTCAACAAATGATCCTACCTCCTTCCCCCGAATACAACGTGTACGTCGTACAGTCATTATAGCTGTATTTGCAGTGACAGGTACCCCAAATAAGGCTATAATGACCGTACGCCGAGCATGTCTAGCCCTGGTGCCTGTAAACTGCTATTGGGTCCAAGACATGGTCTGAGATAATGAGGTGAATCAGGTGATGGTCCAAGGTTAATAACACTGAAGGTAGGATATAGTAGGGATAGGGGGTGCGCTGGGAGAATTGAGGAGAGGATGGGTTGGGGAGGCGGTCTCACAAATGGAGCAATTGTCAGCACAAACCAATTGCTGGCGGATGCAGCGGCGGCCACCATGTGTCTGGAACCTGGCCGCTACAACAACCTGGGTTTTAATTTAAAAAAAAATATAAAAAACAATGCTACGTTCCCAACGCAGAAAACAGCAGACCGGAACGGGTAGGCTGAAAAGCAGGACACGCCACGAAGAGCTCTGCCCCTTTCCGTCGCAAAGGACGGCGCGTTCCCAGCGCAGAACACAACAGACCTGAACGGGGTAGCCTGAAAAGTGGAGCCAAGCCACAAGGTGCTCGCGAGCTCTGCTTCTTTCCGTCGCAAAGAACGGAGCATTCCCACCGCAGAAAACAACAGACCGGAACGGGTAGCCTGGAATAGGAGTTCGCGATTACGGTCAGATACATCCAGGAAAATCTTAGTGTGAGAGGATGCCCTCCGTGTGCGTGCTGGTGTCTGGCAAACTTTGTTTTCAGCAAGACTGCGCAGAATAGCAGCTCATGGGTGAAGAAAGAACCGAGTACGGCCCCCTTCTCAGGGCCTGGCTCCACCGCACAGCATTCTCTGTGCATCTAGACGGGACCACAGTCCAGACTCATTCCGGCTGACAAAATGTGCACAAGCCACAGATTCATTCAGAGCTTATTATGTAGTGGAGCAAGGCCCTCAGCTGTGCCCTGTCGGTTTTCACAAAAGAGTAAGGGGTTGGATAATCATGGGGGGAGTTTCCTGGATGTATCCGACAGGAATTGCTGTCAGATTCGTGAGTCATTCAAGATAGTCCTGGATTGTATCAAGGTGGTCTGAAAGTTCCCCCCTCTTTCTCCTCTTCTTTCTCTGCGCTTGCTCCTTTCTCCATGGCATTGCCTTTTTAACTCTGACAATGGTTCTCTTTCTCATTTTCCCTCCTCCTCCTCCTCCTCCTCCTCCTCCTCCTCCTCCTCCTCTCGTCCCTTCCTTGTTGTTGCCCGGGGCGGGGGGGAAAGCGGCAACCTTTTTTTCGGCCCGTCTTATGCAAAAGAGTGCCCCATGTGGCCACATGACTTCTCATCTTATCAGCACTTGGAGTCCTGTGTGCAATGCGTGACAGTCCCCAGTTTTGCTGTGTATTGGTTCCTTGTTGCCTATGCTGTGCTCCTCCCCCTTTTTGTTTTTCCTCCCTTGCATTGCATTGGCCTGGCGAGATTGTTTTCCTTGCAATGCGGCTCCCTTTCCCTTCTCTTCTCCCCAGCTTCTCAACAACTGGACTTCTTGGTTCCCAATGGAAAGAATTGGGGGTTCAAAGATGTGCTGTCCCTCAACTAGCAGAAATTCAGAAAAGAACGTTGTTATATGCTCCGCCCTGTGACAGAAAGACTGAAATTTTTTGGCAAATCGTACCAGAATCTGGGCTACCAGAGTGGCCCGGGACCACTTGCCCGGCCAAGCCAAAAGACATTAGGCACCCTCCTCATCCGGACACTATATGTCCATTTTGTGGCCACGGACGCTATGCTGAATGCATGCTCTTTTGTGGGGGGCGTTCTTCCTTTATTCTGGCCTGCAATAGACATGCTATTTCTCAGGAATGTATGGTTGGCATGCTTAATGCCAGCCGTCGTGGCAGTTGTTGTTTTGAGAATGCTCAGTTAGGTCTTCCATGCGCTCATCCACCCCATCCTTACAATGTGTGTCCTTTCTGTCGTCAAAGACAGCCTCATTCTTGAGCTTTTCCCTGTGTTTAACACCTTCCCCTTCACTCTGCCTCTCTCACAGCGTGCAAGTGGGCTGTTATGGCATACGGGGATGGGGGCAGCTCGCGCTCAACTTCATCAACGTGGCGAGCCTTGCACGTGAGAGGCACAGTGRAGGTGGAGTTCAAAGAAGAATGAGAAATTTAATGGTTTCAATCTGCCCTTGTTTTTTCTTTTTGTTTTTCTTTTTATTTTTATTTTTGCATGTTATCACTGTGCCCGTTTTTTGCTTTTATTCTTTGTTCCACAAAGTGCGCTGTTTTAGTTTTTGTAGTCCACGGTCTCGTTTGAGAACCGATTCTCCGGTTTCTATTCTTCCCATTGTTCCGCCTTCATTGCCAGTGACATCTTCTGTTAGAAACATCGCCACTCCTCTTATTGTGTATCATCGTCGACGACATGCACAACATCGCCACTTGGCCAGGGATCAGCGGCCTGCTTCTTTGTCTACCSCAATTCTCTCTGTGCCTCCTCCACGGGTTGTTGCRGTTCCGTTGTCCCAAACGGATACATCCGCTCCTATGCCTCCTGCAGACAGTCCATCTGCTTGCACACAGCCACAACACCATGTTTTATACCCTTCCATGTTCGTTCGTCCCCCAGCTGTGCAACAGGATATGGTCCCTGCCCAGAGTACACTCCCAACGACAGTCCCTACTCACGATGTGGCCCCGAACGCCGAGGGCTTGGGACATGATCAGCTCGGACTGCATTTAACTCCGCAAGGCATAGACCACACGGGAGATTTGCAAATGGATGACCAGGATCATATGGATGAACCGCGTACTTGTGCCCCACCCTGTGTGGCCCCGAACGCTGAGGGACCAAAACATGATCTGCTTGGACTGCATTTAATCCCGCATGGCGTAGACCCCACGAGGGATTTGCAAATGGCTGACCAGGATCATATGGATGAACCGCATACTTGTGCACCACCCTGCGCATACCCCACGGGTGATCYACAAATGACTGACCAACAAAATCAGCCTGAGATCCMCGCCAATCTCTGTGGTCTGACTGCAACTAATAGCTGCCTTCGCGTTCTCAATCGGCCGTTGTATACACCATCAGATTTCCTTGCAATTGCCCTGCAGCTTGATGTTGATCTGGCTAATCTCACTGATTCCCCCGACCTACAGCCAGAGCATCGTAATTACACCAGGGAAGGAGGTTTTACCATTGCTGTCCTAGAAATAGCGATGAGGAACCGCCAGCTTGAACTACGCCATGCTCTACCAGGTGAGCTGTTTAATCCTCCATCCCGCATCTCTGTCTGCATTGTGCATGGGACACGCCTCTGACCATTGGGAGGTGTGGAACGACGGTGTCATGGTCCATGCCATGATTGATATTACTGATTTCTTACTCTATGATGTTGTTCTCTTGCCACATCAAACTGTCCGCAACCTCCTTTATGTCGAAGATCATTTCTCTGGCACCATAGTGCAGCAGTACAATGTACAGACACTCTGTGACCTTCTCCTTTACACAGCCATAGACACTGTTGCACTCGGGTGTATTCGCCATCATCTTTGTCACAATCACTACCACGAGATGGTTTCTGCATCCATGTGTGTACAGGATTGTCCCTCCGTTCCTGACTGCAGGCACCCTCCTCATCCGGACACTATATGTCCATTTTGTGGCCACGGACGCTATGCTGAATGCATGCTCTTTTGTGGGGGGCGTTCTTCCTTTATTCTGGCCTGCAATAGACATGCTATTTGTCAGGAATGTATGGTTGGCATGCTTAATGCCAGCCGTCGTGGCAGTTGTTGTTTTGAGAATGCTCAGTTAGGTCTTCCATGCGCTCATCCACCCCATCCTTACAATGTGTGTCCTTTCTGTCGTCAAGGACAGCCTCATTCTTGAGCTTTTCCCTGTGTTTAACACCTTCCCCTTCACTCTGCCTCTCTCACAGAGTGCAAGTGGGATGTTATGGCATACAGGGATGGGGGCAGCTCGCGCTCAACTTCATCAACGTGGCGAGCCTTGCACGTGAGAGGCACAGTGRAGGTGGAGTTCAAAGAAGAATGAGAAATTTAATGGTTTCAATCTGCCCTTGTTTTTTYTTTTWRTTTTWYTTTTTMTTTTTATTTTTGCATGTTATCACTGTGCCCGTTTTTTGCTTTTATTCTTTGTTCCGCAAAGTGCGCTCTTTTAGTTTGTAGTGATGTGACAATATATTCTACGATGTTGCTAGCCCTCTGCTCTTGCAGATTGAGCGGCGAGCATCGGGCCTGTACAACCAGGCACTCACTTTTTTTTGTGGAAGACAATCTATTCTTTCTCTTATCTCCTACATCTTTCTTTTTATGTTGTTCTCACCCCCTTCCTTAACGACTCTCCGGCCTCTTTCGCAGGAGCTGTATGCCTATTTGGCTGGTTTCATGGTGAACTCARCTCCTCCATTGTTTCTTATGACAAATGTTGTTACAAAAGTTCTGCATGGTTGTTTGTCCTGTTTTGGTAAGCTTGGTATTGTGACCATGTTCATTTCTGCTGTACACCCCTTACATGGACATTTGTGATGTACATGCCGTCTTGTCTATTTGTTGTGTACAGCTGTTATGTACACTTTTTCCTTTTTGTGCATGATGTGATTGTGATGGCGGTCACCGCAAGGGCACGGGTTGCACCCCTTTCCCGTGCAGTGGGTATAGTTACAGCCCGCCT